AAGCAATTGGACTTGCGGTTTTCAACAAGAAGTCGAAAATATCACTTTTTACCAAAAATGACAAAAATATTCACCAAAATTAGAGAATTAAAGATATCATTACAAAATGAACAAATCTGAGAGAGGTCCACATGTAGTACCTATATATGTAATATCAAAGCAATTGCACTTGCGGTTTTCAACAAGAAGTCGAAAATATCACTTTTTACTAAAAATGACAAAAATATTCACCAAAATTAGAGAATTGAAGATATCATCATGAAATGAACAAATCTGAGAGAGGTCTACCCAAGGTACATATACACCAAGTATCAAAGCATTCAGGCTTGTAGTTTTCAAGAAGAAGTCGAAAAAGTAAAACATTGACACGGACGACGGACGACGACGACGGACAATCACTCATATGATAAGCTCCGCTCAACAAAGTCGACAGTGGAGCTAAAAATAAAGGAATGGGATAGCTATAGTTCGATAAAATGGCAGATGAAAACACTAAAATCAATGATTTTTTTCAGTGGCCGTGTGACCTTGTGTCTGACACATTCATATGCAAATGACTAATCTGTGAAATAAACAGGGGCGGAGACAAACCACTCAAATGTTTGGAAACACTCATTGTGTGTCAGATAGCTACTGATAACACATCCTAACATTGCTTTGTCTTGAGTTAATCTTTGAAACTTATAGGCACACAGATTAAACCTGTGTTGTTGATTTTGTAAAACACTACTGAAGCTGCCTTGATTCCCTTCAGAAAATCTACATTTTAACCAACTTACATGACATTCTAGGTTACGTTGACTTTGTCAGATGAAAGTTTATAGTGCATTTCATCAATTAATAAATAAATGTGAAAATCGGAATTTTCAACACAAATAATAGTCTCGCTACCTTAAACAATATCAAGCAAGATATGACAATATTTTGTGTAATTATATACTAATATCAACATTTCAAAACAGGCATCATTAAAAATATATATAACATAAACAATTGGAAATGTCAGTGATAATATATATTATTATTATACATCTGTCATCGTAACGCCATAAGTTTCAGCGTGCTGTAATTTTGCGGTATTCTATGGGGTTTTTTCATCCCACCATATTAGGAAATGCAAAATCCAAATATGGAATGATTATACACGTAAAGCTTCCTCTAATAATAAAAACAAAAATGGCTGCCACCAGGGTTTGACCGGACTCCACACAAAGAAGTTCACTGATTCTGTTCTAAAAGTATGCACTCAGAAAGTACGCCATCGCATCAGCCTCCGATGCATGTCGGTCGATACATCCGCTGTACTGTCTCGGTATCGTCGTAATAACCTCATATTATGATATTTTACATCATAAACCATATCATAGCATGTACAACCTCAATGTGAAGGGCTGTGTTTCAGTTTAAAACATGATTTTGAGCACACCACTACTGTCTCACCTCTTCGATAATTTGCTCCATATTCCTCACCACTGATATGACTTTCTCGTTTTGCGTCAACAACGCAAAATTATCTCTTTTATGTAGTAAATTCATGAACTCAGTTGTTGTCCTCTCGTGGAATTTCCGAAGCTTCACTAGCTCTTTCATATGTAGTGCCTTCAAAATAAGAAAAAAACTGATATATTCTGATTTAATCAGAAATCAAGACAATAATATTTGGATAGTTAAATCACAACAGTAATCTCAAGGTGAATGTTCAAATTTTGTAGAAACCAGCATTGTACTAGTTGTACTATGTGAATTTTGATTGACCAGGGATCACATGTGGCCACAGTCTTCAACTGTGACCTGATAGTAATTTTGGCCCCAAGAAAGCCATAGAATGCTCCATTTTATCTTAGAATTATCAAAAACTCCACACCCTGGTAGGGAGAACCTCATCTCTTCTACTTGGTGGCGCCACTAAATTGCAGTCCTCCCTCTTGCAGTTTTTTTCTAGAAAAAACCCTGAAACAAGATACATCATGACTACTACAATACCTCAAAACATAAATACATTAATTCACTTAAAATATAAATCCGAAAGGACTCACATTTCTAATTGTCCTACCCAATGCATCTCCTTTATGTTTCTTTTGTTTTTCCAGTGTATTGGATGCAGTAATGACTTGTTCTATGGCAGTTCTGGCATCTATCACTATTTTAGATAACATATCTAAACTTGTTTCAATCTGTTAAAGCAAATAAATACCAGCACAATAAGTGATGTCATCTTACAAGTAAATGTTCTTGTTTAAAAATTTAACAACTAGATGATATATTGATAATAATATCTTTAGCGAATCGGCTGATGACACAGCTGCATTGCAGGCAATGTTGCTTCAAGGAGCCAGTAGATCGTTAGCAGATTTGGAGGCAATATACCTTGCAACGCAGCTGTATTTGCTACCAATTCACTGTGTGAAAGGGTGTGCGAAACAAGTTTGCGGTGACAGCGATAAAACAATAGTACCAACAACAAGTACTTACTTCTGGAATAAGGTAAATGGCAATTTCTTGTCTCTGACTTGGCGTTAAATGTTGTGAAAACTGTTGTCTACATACTTCTAATAACCTGCTTAACTGACTAAGAAACACTGGTAACCTATAATGAATAAAACACATATTTACTACTCAGTAAATACTTACCCATAGATACATCAACACAGAATATCAAAGGATGGTGGTCATCATTGTCGCATACGACTTGTTTACCACTTCCGTGTGACTGAGAATGTTCTAGAACCGTACTGTGTCTGGGTGGAATTTTTAGAAACTGGTTGAATAGGTAATAGAACACTGTAGGAGGCAATAGAAGGTAATGGAACATTCTAGAAATTTGTAGTAAGTTCCAGACTCATTATGTATGCTGATGTAATGGTCTATTTATAGACAGTGTGGGTATATATAGGGGAGTTGTTCAGCAAAAAGGTACGGGGGGGGGGGATGCGGTGTATATTCGCTGGGTTTTATTTTTACTGATTCACTTCTTTAGTGAAAATAGTGAAAATAAATTCCGAGCGAAAACAAAGTATTTCACAGTACCACATGTCATGACAGTTAACTGTTCTCTTGCGCATCATTCAAGTGTCTTACCTTGTTCTTGCATATTTAATTATTTCATGTCTTTCTTCTCTACTAAATTCACCTTTTCTTCTTGAGAAGAGATCACAAAGTGTGAGAAACTTGGCACCAGCTGAAAAAGAAAGTTGAACGTTATATAAAATCATTATTCAATCATTGTCTGTTTATTCCCATCAAAACTACTGACCAAAACATGGATGTTGTCTTAAATTGCTCCCATTCATTTCTTACACAATTTCCCCCTCATCATTAGGATAATATGAGGTTATTACGAGGATACCTCAAAGCATGCACGAAGACAATACAGCGGGAGTATCGACCAACACGCAATGCAACAGCGTACTGTCTGAAGATACATCAGGGGAATGCCAAAACCAAAAAGTTTAGAATAGAATCAGCGAACTTCTTTGTTGGAGGCTGTCAAACCCTGGTGGCAGCCATGCTTTTTTTTATTATTAGAGGTGTGCTTACGCACGTAATCATTCCATATTTGGAATTCACATTTCCTTATATGGTAGGATAAAAATACCTCGTAAAATACCGCAAAATTACGGCACACTGTAACGTATGGAGTTACAGTAACAGATGAATAATAATGGTAATTAAGTCCAAAGTTATAACAAAATTAACTCACCTACTGCACCTTCCCTTAAAGCTTGCTTAAAAGAGTAACATAACTTTGCTGGATCAGCAAATGATTGACTACCACTGCTTATTCCATCATCACCACCACCACCTTGTCCATTGAATATGTCAATTATTTTATCAGCACACGTGTGCATGTCACTGATTAAGCCCATGATTTCTAGAGAAGAAAATAAGATTAAATTATTTATAGCTCTAGAATGTTTTTAAAGGTACACCCCCTTTCTTTCAAAATCAACGTATTTGACACACAGAATGAAGGAAAATGTTAAAATCATTTCAAAGTTGCTAGGATTGGTTCAAGACTGCTTTATACAACATTTCTGCAGTAAAACAATTGTATCTTGAAATGAGGTGAATTTTCAGTGGAGATCAAAGAAATTTACTCAAATACAACCTACAGCAATTTGCTGCACTCAAAATGTATTCACATGTATTTTTACAGCATGTGTTAAACAGCATTCTGAGTTTCATCTCAATATACATGTATTACAATAATATTATCGTCCACGCCATTACATGTATATCACCCCCCCCCTCCCCTCCAACCTTCATTGTTCAAGTGTGTCCAGATACACACTTATTTTAGAGTCCATAGAGTGTACAAGAACAGACTGATTGCAGACATTCTCATTAGCATGTTAACAAATTCACAATGACAGAGAACATATAAAAAAAATACATATTTGTTTGTTAATATTTTTGTGGTAGGTTTTTGTGACAATTCTACACACTCAATGCATCCCTCCCTTGAACATTTTTAGTTTGCTGTCATCAAAGATCTATTTTTGACTTCTTGTAAACTACCATGCCATATACTTTGATACATGTACTTAGTATGTAAGTGCCTGGGTAGACTTTTGTCAGATTTTGGTACATGTATGACAGAGCTGTGAGACCATTTATCTATGAAATGATACCTCAACCAGGTCTGATTGAACATGTTTAATCACCTGTACTAATCACATCTGTATGTGAATGAATCTTGCAATTGGCTGAGTGAATTTTACATTCAAATAAAGTACAGTTGAATCCGTTTCTTTGGCGGTGTTAAATTCAACCCCAGGAAGGATTTATAAGGCTACCAGTCAGTGGTTCAGTATAATACTGGTCTATACTTACGTTGCTTCAAAGCGATATTTTTGAGGAATGTTTCACAGAGTTCTGCTAGCTTCTCCAGACCGGGTAGTTTGGATGCAGTCCTGTAACACAATTTGGCAGTGTCTTCTGACAGTCCTTTAGGTAGGCATTCCGCATACAGATAATACAGCACTGCATGCAACACATCAGTCTGTAATCCTGTGAGCGGTGGAGGTGCTCGCTGCCAATCCATGCTTGGACAACTCACTTGCAGAATTGTCTTGTGAACTTTGTACTGAGAATTAGATTAGAAATACTGTGTGACGCTTTAGTGTCACAAAAAAACAAAAACAATTTTGCAAATTCTGAGAAATATTGCAGCAGTGAAGATCTCCCTAAATTTTCTTAGACAGGAAGTGATAGCTAATTAAAATTCTGTCTTTTGCACACACTTCTAAATTAGCAAATATTTCTAGTAGTGAAAATTGTAAGGTTTGCAGCAGGCCACATTGAAAACTATATTTATAGTTCATATATGGTTTAGGAATTTTTTACTACATACACAAGTAGACAGTTATAATTGCTACAAAAATTTACCCACAAAAATGTTTATTTGACAAGGAAAAGGTAATTTCACAAAAATCGTTATAACACAGAATCTTTGAAATTGACGAAAATTAGATGTCATTACATTTCAGTGCATCACAGTAATTTTGTTGAGTAGTGAGCTGTCAGTATGTGAAGTATGTTATAAGGTTATTGCGATGATACCTCAAAGTATGCACGAAGACAGTACAGCGGCAGTATCGACCGACGTGCAGCAGAGGACGATGCGTCAGAGTACTGTCTGAGTGCATATTTTGAGGTATCTTCGTAATAACCTTATTATTATACATCTTTTTCTTCCAAGGATACATCATGGGAATGCCGAAATTCAAAAAGTTTAGAGCAGAATCAGCGAACTTCTTTGTATGGAGACCGGCCAAAGCCTGGTGGCAGCCATGTTTGTTTTTATTATTAGAGGACGCTTACGCGCGTAATCATTCCATATTTGGAATTCGCATTTCCTAATATGGTAGGATGAAAATACCCCGTAAAATACCGCAAAATTATGGCACGCTGTAACTTATGGCATTACGGTGACAGATGTATAATAATATATATTACATGAATTCACTGTGACTCAAATCTATATTACAGTATATGCATGTAGAATTTCAGTTGTGAGAAAAAGGGTTGAACTAATTCTTGGAAAGGGGATGATAGATTTAGAAAAAAAAATACATGCATATTTAATAGTGTATGGATATTTACCACATCCTCCCAAAATTTCTAATAGCCTAACTCCTAACAAACAAAAAATAGAATTCAAAACAAACCTCTTTGCCGTTATCAGCTTCTATGGTAAGATCAGAGAAATAGCCATGTTCAAAAGCATTGAGGAAGGAAAATGGCATATCTCCTATTTGGTCACTCGGCGATAGCTAGGGTGGAAAAACAACATATTGTTGAACAATTTTGAAACAACATAACAGTTATTGGTTTAATTTTTATTAATATTCCTATCAAAATATTTATGCTCAAAAACAGGCTCAAATATAAGCAATATATAATCAAGATTTCATATTTGTATCAATAAAACAAATTTTATGCTTTGTAATATACAGTGTATATAGACAACAGTCTAGATAGCATCCTCATTGTAAAACAAAGAGGAATCCAACACAAAACTTTATATACATGCACGATTCATACACATCTCAGCTCATTCAATTTTAGATCCTTTTAGGGGCTTTTCAAGACTAAATATTTCTGAGAATTTAAGATTTGTTTTCAGTGACAAATAACTAATAGAAAATTACAATAATCATTTCAAAATACACTCAACATCATAGGTGAATTGAGCTATGGGGTTGGAGTAAAGATCCAATTAGTGCACATGCACAGTCAGGACACCAGCAATGACAGTTCAGTTGTAATCTCAGTACCCAGTCAGCTACACAGATTACCTCTCCGAAGAAATATAGTAATACCTACCTTCTCACATGACAGGATAAAACAATTTTCATAGTTTAGAACTAGCATGCCATCAGGACGGCTGGAAACCTGACAGTCAAACAAAAAAAAGGAATACATAAAATCAATAGAACATATTATTTACTTTTACATATTTATGTGCAGATCTTTCATACATCAAACTGAAACCATATTGTAACATGCTTACTTTAAACTCCATAACATCGCCGGTTGTGGTTCCAACTAGCTTTAAAATTGGAGGATCACCCGAGATATACTATGAAAGAAAGCAAAAAAAGGTTAAATATAACTAACTACAATGTATAACCATTTTCAGAAAGCTGTGAATGTTTCTATGGAAATTTATAAAACATTTATCCAGGGAGACCCATGTGTTACATTAAAATACAAAGAGGAACTTTTCATTGGGTATAAGAAGCCTGTTAGTAATGTAATCTTTGTGTCATTCCTTCAATCATGGTGGATTTACGTGGAACATCATAGATCACATCCAATTCACTCAAAACATGTCAAACTAAAAATTCAATATCAGGAAATTTAATTTTCAGTATTTTTGTTCGATACTGTATGTTCATGAATACATTTCATTATCATTTACATTGTAATGTATGTGTCCCGAACTCAAAACTTTTTTCTTAATTGTGACACATGACAAGCACTCATTCTATGAAACAATGCAATTTTCTAACAAGTATGTGCACTGAATGTACATGAAATAACTGCACAGGTTGTTTATGCCGCAGCAATTTTTTTTAAAACAAATAATAATCAAATAAAAACCATGCATGGAAAAACAAAAATATTAAAAAATATGTTTTCGTTTATATTGCGTCTTTAAATATATTGTAGAAATATATTTTTAATATTGCACGGTTAGTATCAGTATTGTCTTGCACATTCATTTCAAACAGGAAACATAGCACGACTATCTTAACCTTGCTTGTTGAGAATCTAGATTCAACGATGGATTATCACATAGAACTGACTGTATGAGGATATCGCCGAAATGCTGGGATATGTATTAATACATTTACTTATATAATAACATTTTGTATATTTAATACTACATGTACTATATTAATCTCAAGGTTCCTTTTAGAATAATATGAATTGCATAAAATGGTACAGCAGAATGATTTATATTACTTAATGAAAACAGCATACATGTATCCACTTAATACTGCATTATCTAAGCAACAAATCTTGGAGAGTAAAAAACTGACATCTGGTTCTTATGATCAGCAGTGCAAATGTATTCATTCTACACTTTCTAGCAAAATGGGCACAGATCTAGAAGCAGTACCTACACACGAATTGGTGACGTCATAAAATACATGACCTTCAATCGGGGTCGTTTCCTCGGTATATACGAATTGGTATATACAAATTACAATAAAGATACTTAAGACATTACACATAAGGTAAAACAAATCACGTGACAATATAATGATAATAACGGTAATAAATCCTAGCTTAACAGTTGAAGAGAACGCTCATATAGTCAGTCGGGTGACGCCGAGGGTCACGAACTGTGTTGCAAAATGGCCGTGTGGTTGAAACTGGGTCATGGCGTGACGGGTGAGGAAGACATCATTAAACACTCAAAATCACAATAAAACGGGGAAGTGGTTGCATATTACGGCGTAGCTACCATGGGAAATAAAAAAACGCCCAATACAAACGACATGGGTTCGAATCACACTAGATACACACTCACCAGAACCGAAGCAATCAGAAACCAGCAATCGTTTTGGCTTTTCCGTTCAACTCATCGGAACACTAGAGTAGTTAGAAAAATGAACACCACTTAACGACCAACGTCGTGGCGTGGTACACAAGCGTGCCATCAAAATAAAACAAAATTAGCTTGAAAAGACAGTGGGTTCGAGTCCCGCTCAGAGCTACCGTAAAAACGTAAATCAAATAAACTGAAATCTCTCAAACCGTAAACAAGTAAACAAAGAACGTCGCAAAAAATAATAAACCTCACAAAACTGCACCATACAAAACTGAATGAATAAATAATAAAATAACTAACGTCTTAAACTGGAC